CGCTGTATTTTGGTATTTAGGACCAACGTCCCCTTATTGTCCACGACCCCTAAGAGGGCGTGTTCCTTCGCGGGCGAATACCACAGCGTTCTCTTTGTATTTTTCGATCTTTGTACTCGCGCGTACCGTGAGCCCCCGCGCCGCGAAAGCCTCCCTCGCAACTGGCGAGTCGACCCCTTTTCCTCGACCGTTGCTTGTAACGCGTGGGGCCCACGCGAATTCTTTGTTCTGCTTACGTGGCCTACTTGGGGCTCAAATAAAAGCATTCTTCCTTTGTTGGATCAAACTCGCGGGTCCTTTACTAATTTTTTTCTGACCCCCTCTGATTCCCGCTCCCGACAGAGCAGCCGGAAGGGCGATTACTACGGACGAGTGCATTAGCACTGGCGCCCCATTAAAGAAATCGTCCGTGGGTGTGAGCATCGGTGCGTGGAGGGCCGTTTTCCCTAACTGCCCCCACTCCAGGGAACCCCCTTCGGGCTTTCCCCCCACCGATCCGTCACAACATATCGTACAGATCATTTGTGCACATATCGAATATTTACTGTAATGCAGTAGCCGCAAAATTACAAAAAACCGAGCGCGCAAAAATTGAAAAGAATTTTCTAGATTTCATTAAAAATAATATTTAAGATTGTAACTAAGAGCTTCTAATTGAAAACAATCTCATTCTCGTTAACAATAGAAGCAGAATAGCTGTTAATTAATCTAAGAGAAGATTTAAATGTATTGGAAAATATAAAGATAAAGTTAGATTGAAGGTTGCAGATTATAAGTACTTGAACTATTCATTGGAGTAATTTGATAAATACTTTGTATTTATAAACAACCAATTGCGGTACTCGATCATAATTGTCCGTACTCGACCCATAAATGTTGTGTTCACACAGAAGTATTTTTTAACCGAGTACGTAGAAACTAAATATTTCTCATAAGTCCCGTTCTGAATTTACTACAAAATTTGTGATGTACATTAGGAGACGATAATAAATAAAAACGAATGAATAGTCTAACGCAAGAATGGTGCAATATCAATAGAAAAGTTTTAAAGAAAATTCTTCAGAACTCAACAAATCGTCTAAAAGGGAAGTCAGTTAAAGAAAAGATACCTTGTTTTTATTTATTATCGTCAGTATTACTCTTATTTTATAACTTAATTTAATAAAGTATTCTAATCGTTTGATATAGAATTCTGCGTTTCTCGAGTTTTCTTGTAACATAACGTAACAATTTGTAAAAAGTAGATGCTTTCAGTTTAGAAAATTATTTTGCTATAGGAAATATTTTTTCTTATAAAAAATGCTTATAGAGAGACTCATAATTTTTAATTATTAGTGTTTTATATGCATAAAACAATGAATAAGAGAAGCTTTTAACTATAGAGAAGTTATTAATATGGGTTTAAATTTTTCTTTATGTTGCAAAAGAAATAAGAAAAAAGCAATATTTGAAGTTAATTGTTATCAGTAAATAGCTATGTTTTATTTATTTAATAAGAGAACTATAATTAATTAACGATGGATGAATTAATGGTATCATTAAAATTATTCTTTAGAACTATATAAAAATTGTATGTACATTCAGTTTTATATTTTATCAAACTAAACTTGTACAAATTTGATGATGATAAAATATTAATAAAAGTTAAGGTAAAGTGTGTACACATTTTAAAAAAATGAACCTTTGTTTGGATTGCGTAGGCGACACACGCTGGGTGTGGTTCTGTTTGGATTATTTCTCCGATTTTTTATACGTACTGGATATAGTATTTCACATACGAACGGGATACTTGGAGGACGGTGTACTACAGACCGATGCGACAAAACTGCGAAATCACTATACAAACAGCACCACGTTTTATATGGACATCCTGTGCCTGCTGCCTCTCGACTTTTTATACTTATCTATAGGATTCAACAGTATACTGCGAAGTTTTAGACTCGTAAAAATATATCGGTGAGTAAACTTCATTTTTCTCTTGCATACATTAGTTTTATATTTATCGATAAATTAGAATTACACTCTTAAATTAGGAGGAATATTTTTTGCATTTGTTTCTTCAAGATACAATATAAATTATTATACTGCAACAATTTTAATAAAGGGTCAAATTGAAATTCAATAAAAGTAATTATAAACGTTTTATGAATATTCTGAATTAGTTAGTTTTTTGTTGTAACAAGCAAGGAATCAACGTGCAGTGTATTAGCAATGTCCATTTTATCTTTCTTTATATATTTCATATATTGATTACTGTTGTAACGGGCAATCGACGAAGATAAAATTATAAACCTCTAATTTATCTGCATTTAATGTACCGGTATAGTTTATATGTGTTAATTTTCAGGAAAAGTCTTATTAGTAGTCTCAGTAAGAATGCACTATTTTTAATAAGTTTTCCAAATAAATTGTTTTTTCTGAAACCTCGATAAGAGTAGTAGTAGTATTCAGTAGTCATGAAGTGTAATAATTTATTGCAAATTGTGTGACAAGTGACTAAAAGGAGCAAGTACCGAAGTTAAAAATATTTTGGTAATTTAAGCGTTGTCTTAATAACTTACAAGTTGTCCTAATTTGATAATTACAATAGTCGGCTTATAAAACACAAAATATTTTACATTAAACGTTACAAAAATGACGAAAGTAATATAACATACAATCAATTTCTTTCATAATAACTTTATCATATTAAAATTGACATTTATAATCATGAACAAATTTTCCTTCAATATAGCTTCAAAGACGTCGCAAAACGACTCAGGACGGAGACATAGTGCTGTCACGGCACGTGACAAATTAAGATGTGACCTACGTATTTCCACTGACAAGGGACATCACCAAGGTGTCACACGCGGATTTTAATGAAATTGACATATGTAGTAGCTTTTTAAAAATCATTTGACACGTATTTTGTTTATATCTGCGAACATGCACGTTGAGGGGGTGAAAATAGCCCTCAAAGTTCGGGGTTGA